ATATTCTAGTGCAGATTTCCCAGAAAAATATCAGAATTGGTCAACTATTGATCCCCAAGATCTTTTCGACGCTCCAATCCAGAAAAAAGAGTCAAACCCAAAGGTAAGTATTTCTCACGATCTTATCTCTCTTTTCTCTGTGCATGGGGAGTGCTTGAGCTGAACTTTTGGGCTTTTGGCTTTTACTTTGGACATTGGCAGCGGTAGTACATATTGTATAGCAAATCAGTATACGTTGGATGAGCTTTTTTTGCGTTATGAGTAAACGATTTGCATGGATTTTGGAACACGAATTATGCCGTATGTTTAGTAGTTCATAGTAGGCATTCATCATTCTAGTGGTTATATGCTACTTGCTTCTTTTATTTCTACGCTAAGGTGCACTTTTCTCTAACAGTCTTCAAATCTCAGGCTCATATTTGTAGGCATTTAAGCAATGAAGCTCGTGGTTGCAGTTATATGGTGTTGTGGTTGGATTGTGATCGTGAAGGAGAGAATATATGTTTTGAAGGTAAGACTATAATTACTGTTTTTCACATTGCTTTTTACCAGCTTTTGATTGAAATATACATACTTTATTGTTTCTAATCTTTGCCTCTATTGTACTGGTAATTACTGAATCAATGAATATACTTTCTTTTCCGTTTATGCTAAAGAAAACATACTATACTGTTGAATCTGTATATCAATGTAGTATCCAATGGTAGACCCTTTAAGTTATGGTAGTAGAATGCGGATTCAGTTATACAGTCTGCTCCTGCATATGTGGTGCAACCACCAACATCTTAACCTTTATTCTCCTGCAAAAGTATTTTTTTCTATGCCACTCATATTTGGGAATGCACATGGTTTTGATGGCCGCTGCTATAACTTGTTGACCATTCTAATTTGTGTAGTTATCGAGTGCACTGGCTTTGACATGAAAGATACTAAGAGAAAGGTTTACCGGGCACGATTTTCTTCTGTTACTGAGAAAGATATATCAAAGGCCATGGAAAACCTTGCTGAACCAAACAGGAATGAGGCACTGGCAGTAGATGCTCGTCAAGAGATAGATCTAAAAGTTGGTGTAGCATTCTCGCGATTCCAAACAAGTTATTTCCAAGGAAAATATCAGAAGCTAGACTGCAGAGTTATCTCGTCAGTTTCCTCTTGTCCCCTTCCTTGCCTTTCTTTTGTTTCGTGTGTAAAGATTCTCGGAAAAGTAAAGTAGATTTTCTTGTCGAGCCCAGATGCATTTTTTTCTTCTTTCTTTGGGGTTTTTGAGATGGTTGAATCATTTAAGATGTGACTAGAATTCTATCGTGGTTGTCTTCTTCCATTTAGAGCGTCCGAGATGTAAATGCTAAGTCACTGTATCCATCTGTTTTTTGTTTAAACTACTCAAAGATCTTCTTAAATGTTTATTTCAGTTATGGGCCATGCCAGACTCCTACTCTTGGGTTTTGTGTGCAACGGTACATGCAGATTAATACTTTCAAGCCAGAAAAGTTTTGGGCTCTGCGACCTCAACTATTAAAGGATGGTTATGAGCTTCAACTAGAGTGGGAGAGACGTAGACTGTTCGACCTGGAAGTTAGTGCTTCGTTCCTGTGTTAAATTTCTTTGACATTCTTGACTGTTGCTCTCGCGTTGCAGATATATTCATGCTTTAAAAAATTGTAGGCTGCTACTGTGTTTCAAAAGTTGGTCGTGGAAGGCAGAACTGCAAAAGTAATTGACGTATCAGAAAAGCAGGAAGTCAAAGGTCGTCCAGCTGGTCTTAACACAGTGAATCTGCTTAAGGTGAGAGAACTCACGGGTCGTGATTACTGTTCCTCCAAAATGAACTTGTCTGGTTGTACATTATACGTTAGGGGAACGCCATATCCTGTACTAATGATCGCAAAACACAGACTGGAAAAAGTTATATTTTGCTTTCATCCAAAGCAATTTTGTTTTCATCAGCTTCATGGTTGTTTTTGGGGATGAGTTTGGCTATCTTGTGTTATTTATCCTGTTTTTGGTTTTCGATTTTGTTCCGGGTAGAGCTTTTGCCATTTCTTAATCTGGCTCACTACTTCAATAACTCTCCCTGATCTAGCATAACAGTAGCGGTTACACAGGTTGCTTCAAGTGCTCTAGGATTTGGGCCTCAGACGGCTATGCATCTTGCAGAGCGATTGTATACACAAGGCTTCATAAGGTTCGCATGCTCCATTTCCCTAGAATCCAGATCATTATTTTTGTCATTTAACTCCTCTTTACCAGCATATAATTGGCTAGTTTTGGTAGATCCTAAATCGTTAATGAATGGTAGTTTCGTTTGTGTGATTCAGATGATGTATGTATGTCCTCAACCTTTGCTGATGAGGATATACATATATCATATTTTTCCCATTGAAACCTTTTTCCTGTTATTATTATGGTGATAGAACTTTTTTGACTCAAAACTATTATGTTTTGTGCTAGCTATCCGCGCACGGAAAGCACAGCCTATCCTTCTTCATTCGACTTCACGGATACACTCAGAGCACAAGTTAGTAATCCAGCATGGGGTGGTTACGTACAGAGACTGCTCTCAGACGGTATTCATAAGCCAAAGTCAGGAACCGATGCTGGAGACCATCCTCCTATCACCCCAATGCGAGCAGCAACTGAGGCCAGTGTCGGAGGAGATGCTTGGCGAGTCTATCAGTATGTCTGTCAACATTTTATTGGCACCGTCTCACCTAACTGCAAATACATAAGGTAGCCTTTTTTGTAGCTTGATCCATTCCAGTTACAGTTATTCTTTGCGCATCTTATATGTAGTATTCTCTTGGATGGAATCTCAGGACTAAAGTGGAATTGTCAATTGGTGGGGAAACTTTCCATTGTACGGGCCAGCGTGTGACAGAAAAGGGGTTTACAGCTATAATGCCATGGTCTGCAGTAGAAGAGAAAAGACTCCCTACTTTTCTCAAAGGAGAGAAGATTGAAGTTTCAAGAGTGGAGCTGTACGAGGTTACATTCTTCTCCTTCGGTTCCCTGCTCTCATTGCCTTGTACAAGAACACAAATTGCTTTAATGTTTCCAGTTTTATTTTATCCTTTCTATTTGTCTGTGAATCTTGTAAAATCTACAGGGGAACACTGCACCTCCTGACTTCCTTACTGAGAGTGAGCTGATATCTCTAATGGAGAAGCATGGCATAGGCACAGATGCATCAATACCTGTGCATATAAACAACATTGGTGAACGTAATTATGTTCAGGTGGGTTTAACTCAAAGGCGGTGTGCATTTCTTCATGATTATCATGTTACTTACTCATTTCAGGAGGATCTATTTTTGTTTTCTGAGAAATTTCGTTATTCTTGTTTGGTGTTTCGTTCTCTTGCAGGTCCAATCTGGAAGGAAACTGGTTCCAACGGCACTAGGGATCACGCTGATAAGAGGCTACCAATGTATTGATCCAGACCTCTGCTTACCAGACATCCGGAGCTTTATCGAGCAACAAATCACTCTTGTTGCCAAGGGCCAAGCTGATCATTCACACGTTGTGCAACATGTGATTCAGCAATTCCGGCGTAAATTCAGTTATTTTGTTCAACAGGTTGGGGAAAAGTGGCCTATGTGTTATGTTTTCCTTAAAGGCATTAGTCTAATAAAGTCTTCGATTTTAAACTTGGCTTGTGTTATATTGTCTTTTACAGATCGAACACATGGATGCTCTCTTTGAATCACAGTTCTCTCCTCAGGCTGATTCTGGCCGCGCGTTAAGCAAATGTGGAAAATGCTTGCGCTACATGAAACACATCACAGCTAACCCACCACGTCTCTTCTGTGGCACGTGCGAAGAAGTTTATTATCTTCCTCAAAAGGGGACCGTCAAGGTAAAAACCTTTCATCCACCTAAACTCTTACGCTGAATCTGATTCATTTGTTCTCTGATTTTCTTACAGCTATACAAGGAACTCACATGTCCTTTAGACAACTTTGAGCTCGTGATCTATTCAGTTCCAGGACCCGAGGGGAAGTCATTTCCACTATGTCCGTACTGCTACAACTCTCCTCCATTCGAAGGCATAGACACACTCTTTGGAGCAACTAAGACGGCCAACGCTTCTAAAACCGGTGCTGGCATGCCGTGTTCTCTCTGTCCTCATCCTACTTGCCAACACTCTTTGAGAAACCAAGGAGTCTGCGCTTGTCCAGAGTGTGAAGGCACACTCGTCTTGGACCCGGTGAGCTTCCCCAAGTGGAAACTCAACTGCAACTTGTGTAGCTGCATCGTTTTGCTTCCGGAAGGTGCTCACCGCATCGCCACCACTAGCAACCGCTGTCCCGACTGCGATTCGGCTATCATAGAGATCGACTTCAACAAGAAAACCACTCCTCTGGAGAACGGAGCCACTCTGCATCAAGGGTGTGTTCTGTGTGATGAGTTGCTTCTCTCACTTGTTGAAGTGAAACATGGGAGGTCCTTTGTGAGGCGTGGAGGAAGAGGAAGGGGACGAGGGAGAGGCCGAGGCAGAGGAGGGAGAAGAGGCTCCAAAGCTGTCGATCCAAAAATGAGTTTCAGAGATTTCTGAAACCTTTACTGTTTTGAGTTACTTGCATCATAAGTAAACAGATGAAAACTCAAAGATCTTACGTGTTGTTTGCACTTCAAGGAAACTCGTTATAACTTCTAGCTTTAGTACCATTTATCTACGAAAGCGATACTTAATGGGATATTTGGCTACTGACTAACGGATCATGTCACAACGTATCACAAACTTTGTAACAAACACTTGTCTACAAGTACAACAGCTACTCCAAAATCTTTAAAACATTTGACTTGTTCGTGCCCTAAAGAACTGCCACATGTAACTTTCAGGGACTGCCACATGTCACGCTTCATGCATACACTCCTTTTTTAGATCACACAAGTATGAAGGGTATGCATGATCTAATGATCTATTATCCCTTTGCAATTACTTTGTTTGTTTAGTTGCTTTGCAAAATTTGGAGAGGAAGAGCAAATAATTAAATAAAAATGGAGAAGGCTGTCCACTCATCGACGACGTCTGGACCGGCGATTCCAGGGGAGGCAACGAAAACGGGCACCTCCATAATCGACACCGCTGCCTCCGCCGTCCAAAGTTTCGCTCCGGTTAACCAAATCCACCAACACCTCTGCGCGTACGTAAACCCGATCTTTATCAATTCCACCTTTTCCTCTTGTATTATCTGTGCTTCTCCATTCTCAGTTTGCAAGTTGAGAGAAATATATGATTGCGTGTACATGTTCTTTCTAAGTTGTCTCTGTTCGGAGTTACCTTGGATCTAATCTTTTTTTTTTAATCTCAAGAACGGTATAGTTCTTTACCCAAAAATGAAAAGAAAATAATCAATTAATTATCTCTTTGTAGTAGTTATTTTCAGAAAGTGTGTAATTTCATTTCTTGAG